GTTCTAGCCGAAGCATCAGGGGAGAGACCAGCCGGCCCCCAGACCATATCGGCTAATCCCTTGCATCTCTGCCACGCACGGAATCGGTTGGAAGTATAATGTTAAAAAGTCTAGTCTATTCGGTGCATTGTTTTCACGGCTATTGTTATGGTAATTTCTTGGAACCGTGGCCCAGTGGAAAAAACTTGGCCATTTAAGATACTGAGTCAAGTCCGGTTGAAGAGGGTTAGCACCTGGATGGGTGACCTAAACATCATACCCACTCAATGTTTGTTTTGTTTTGGTTTTGGGGGTTTTTTTCCGTTTTTTTTCCTGTTTTTTTTGTTTTTTGTTTGTTTATTTGTTGTTGTTGTTTATTTTGTTTATTTGTTTATTTGTTTATTTGTTTATTTGTTTATTTTTGTTTTTTGTTTGTTTGTTGTTTTTTTTTCCTTTTTTTTTAATACAAAATATTTATACTTCGCTGTGTTTTTCTTGCTCGCAATTCTTCCCAGTGTAACCGATCGATTCCTATCTTCCATTCGCTTACGGCAAGAGGAATATAGACCAAGCCATATAAGTAAAAATTCAAGGAACGTCTAGCTTCCACATCAAGGGCGACTTAAAACAATTAATCGCTGCAACCAAAACAAAACATTTCCATCATCCTGGACTGATTTCAAGGCACGGCTTACCCACAGATCGAGTTAGAATTTAGCGCGCAGGTCAGGTTTTGTGGAGGGAGGAAAACCAAACGGAGAACCCGGAGAAAAATCCTTGAATCATGGGAAAGACCTAACAAACTCTTCTTACATGTAATGGCGAGTCCAGCTATTGAACCTGAGACTACTACTGGCACGCCACACTTGATTGTTGAATACACTTGAACTTTTCTATTGCATTTCGTGCCGTTGACAGACAGAGGGTATGTGAAGGGAGAGTGTGTAGCGGAGAGATTAAACACCAAAATTAATTATGTATTATTTTCTCTGACCTGTTTCAGTTTGTAAGTACGACAGACCTAACATCATGAACGCTAGCAGTGGCTCTATAATGACCGCCTATTATCCAGTCCCTGTATCCGTGATTACGTCACTTTATAAMTGTAACTGGCTGATCAAGGCCCAGGCGGGTAGTCACGTGATCATGACTGTAATGAACGTCCAGTATAGTCAGTATGGTAGGATACAGTTTCGGGATGGTTACACCATGCAAAGCCCTTTACTCGCTGAACTGTGGCAGTATAAGTACAAAGATGCCACAAGAACTCCACTCATCATCAGGTCTACCGGTCGTTACATGTTAGTCTGGGATAGAACCATCAATACAGGATTTCACGCTATTTACAGAACTGAAAAAAATGGTTTTAGTAAGTTATTCTTCGTCCGCCGTCCCTGCCTCCCTGCCTCCCTGCCTCCCTGCCTCCCTGCCTCCCTGCCTCCCTGCCTCCTCCATTCACCATTCTCTTTATATATATATATATATCTAAATTTCGTTTCTCATTTTGCCATCCTAGGATCTAGCTGTTCTCCTTTAAAAATCCCTGTCAACGGTAACATGACGTGTTCATCCGGGAACCTCACTGGTAGCGTGTGTTCATTTACGTGCAATCGTGAAGGAGCCTTGAGTGGCCCTGCTAATGTAACATGTGGTGTTGATGGACAGTGAAGTGACGACAGGCCGTTCTGTGGTGAGTCATTTGGAGCGGGAAGTGAATAGAAAGGATCAATCGTGAAGGAGCCTTGAGTGGCCCTGCTAATGTAACATGTAGTGTTAATGGACAGTGGAGTGACGACAGGCCGTTCTGTGGTGAGTCATTTGGAGCGGGAAGTGAATAGAAAGGAAATGAAGTTAATAAAAGAGATGGGAAAGGCTGTGAAAGGAAAGTATAGTATACTTTAGTAATATCAATAATATAAATGATATTTATTTATTTATTTGTAAAAGGATCGCATCGGGAGATGGTGTAGACTGGATGATGTGTCTTTTATTTACCGCTCGTCGAATCATCTATGTTGTGATTGGTTGGTCGGTTTATGGTAGTTCCGGACCCTTGCTACTGCGCATCTATTTCGCGCATCTCGTTTTTTACCCTTTATTTACGCTGTTTTGAAAATTGATTTAAATAAYGTCAGAAGTTGAATCCTTTTCTATAACTTAACAAAGTATTTCGCTAATTCATGGGACTTTTGAGGCAAAAATGAARTGTTTTCAAAACATGCTTAGATTTTCATTGCCTGACTTGATCACGCGCGGTAAACTGAAAAATCCCTCTTTTTTGAAGCCTTATATCTCAATAACCAATACGGCGACCCCTTTCTCTTTTTTCATTATTTGAATACCCTAACGATGAACTTCAAATGAGTGAATTTWAAAAAAAATTCATTGAAGAATTTTGAAGATCAGACACTACCTTATGCTAGCGCTGTGATTGGTTGTTTGGTCGTTACATCTCCATCCAGAGTGTTTACTTATTGTCGGTGATACACTCTCATTCAATCTCATTTTCTTTTTATTAGTTGATGTCAAATTACTAAACGGTGAAAAACCAAACATCGGAGAGATATATATTTCTATTGATGGCACCTGGRCAAAAATCTGCCATTACAAACCCTCTAATACGCATGTGTGGGGGTCAAGAGAAACCAACGTCGTTTGTAGGATGCTTGGACTTCCTAACGCCACCTTAACGCCGGTTTTTAGGCTGAAAGCAGGTTCAACCTTTACGTTGGGAAAAGACACAGCCATGTGTTCAGGAGGAGAAGAATCCTTGGCAAAGTGTCAAAAGTTTTTTCCCTACAAACAGGGTCGCTATTGTATGGAAATAACATCTGCTGTTTGTGGAACACCTCCGTGTAAGTAGAAAAGCTTGGTATGATGGATTTTATTGCTTGTAAATTTCTTCAGCCATCTAAGTGCATTAAGGCTTGGTTGAACCTAATTTGCATAAAATATATGTTTTAAGAAACTCTTGTCTTATATATAGTGGAAATTCTTAATACAACATATCAATGATGAATGCGAGCCGATTATTTAATGCTAAAAAGTTTTTTTCTTCGTTACTTCACAGTATGTCAGTCCTGTTCTTGCTCTCAGAGTACACTTAATGGTGTAAAAGTCAATTGCACGTCTGTAGGACTGACAAGAGTTCCACAAGAATTGAAGTTTTACATAAATATCCTGTAAAGTATATAACAGACTATCGTAAATATTGTACCAGGAGAAATATGGGGCAGGAGGCGATCAAAGCGACCTTCCTTCGTTCAATTCTTGACATGGAGGGTTTTCCGCATTCATGCCCTTCATTTGTCATGATATATATGATTGTACAATTAACTCTATCTTTTATTGTTCAAAGGGATCTTACGAATAATCAAATTAAGAATATCGAGAAAGAAGAGCTTGAAAACTATGAACAGCTAATGCTATTGTAAGTAAGAGGTCTTTTTAATCACTGTTACCAGTTTCATGTAAACCATGCATTGTGTAGTAATTAACACCCGCGCGTACCATATCTTTGATCTGATTTATTCACAACAGAAATCTGACTAACAACAGAATAACTTCAATAAACGAAACAACCTTTCAAGGATGTAACGCTCTGGTTGGTCTGTAAGTATTCTGCGAATCTTTAGTATAAGCTAGAGTAGAAAAGATACAAAGACTTCGGATAGGATATTARCAACTAACGTTCAATTGTAATTTTTGTAGTAATTTAGAAGGGAATCCAATYCACCAGATAAATGGACAACCTTTTCTCACAGGAGTAGTTCACGTATTGTAAGGAAACATTAATATATACCTTGTTTATTGCTGGAAGAGAGTGAGTATATTAGCCCAATGTAACGGCCTCCTGTCTACTCACTTCTCCATCACTTTCCCTCTCTGCCTCTCTTCCTTGCCCCGAGGGGTTTTTCTCTGTGTTCTTTCGCAGTTTTCCAGTCCCTCCAAGAAAATCAACATGTTAACTGAGAGTTGTGCGCATAGATTATTAAATGTAACAATATCTTGTTTTTTGGATTGTGGATATTATGGGAGTAGATTCTACATTCTTATCTTTCAGGACATTACGACAGTCAAAACTCTTTACTATCAGGGATAACGTATTTAAGTCATATTATTTGAAAACTCTGTAAGTCACAACAGTCTAGCTAGCCTAGCCCCATCCCCACCCCAACCCCCCTTCAAACACAGCTCTGAATCTATCCCCACCCCAAACCCTCTCAGACTTCCATCGTCATAGTCCCACCTTTACCGTACCCCGCTACAAGGTCAATCTATTAATCATCGTGTCTTTGTTAGAGATTTATCGATGAATTACCTCACTACAATCAAAAGAACAACCCTGGGATATATTATGAAACTGGAAGTACTGTGAGTACAAGAGTTTATGATGATGTAGAGACGGGATAATTGTAACATCTCATCGTACACGCAGTCACGTTATTGACGCACACTCGCGCAGGCTGCTTTATGTTTTAATCTTAACGTCTTGCTCAGGTTTTTGTCAAGTAACAATATCTCTACCATCGGGGATGCGGCTTTTGCAAGTTGYCCATTTCTGGAGAATTTGTAAGTATAAAGAAAGTGGTAGACATTTGTTTATATATAAAGAGTTATTATGTCCCATTATGTCCCATGGCCGAAGAAATGGAGTGTGTTGATCAAGTGATATTGTAATATAACTGTTTTTGCATGTTGTGTTGCTAACATGCGTGCGCATTCAATGAATATCGTTACTGACATGTTYAATTTTTAGGTTTCTTGAAAACAATCAGCTTCGCGTCATCACTTCCAAAATGCTGTACCAAGCTCTACGTCTTGATATAATGTGAGTATAATCGAAACCTTAACCACACGAGTCAACCTGCCTTTAAATAAATGAGGATTTCTGTGATCAAGCATATATAGGGGAGGGGTGGGGGTGTGCTTACCCCTCTAAATCCGACCTATGATCTATTTGCACTTGTTTTCAGAGTTCTTTCCAACAATCCCCTTGAGACCATCGAACCTGGAGCTTTCTCTTCCAACAATAAACTCACAATGATGTACGTATGTTATGTATGTACGTATGTATGTATGTACGTATGGATGGTTGTTTGGTTTGTAATTACTATAATCAGAAATATATAATTTAAGGGATCAAGGGTGGGGTAGGGGTAGTGCGTTCTACTCTCACCTCGGCTGCGGTGACCCATGATTAGGAACATGCAGCAAGCCAGACGAGTTGCTGCAAATGAGAAACAAGTTGCTGCATGTTAGACGAACTACTGCATGCAAAATAAGAGACGAGTTGCTGCATGTTAGACGAATTGCTGCATGCAAAATAAGAGACGAGTTGCTGCATGTTAGACGAATTGCTGCA